CAAGGACAGCGAGATGATGGAAGAGGCTTTACAGCTTTTAAAACAAGGGCATTCGCAAAGGGAAGTGGAACAACGAACTGGAATTCCGCGACGTACCTTATGAAATCACATGAATACTGGGGTAATCTCGAGAAACCTTGGACGTAAACTAATTTTGACAGAAAGACAAGAAGCTAATTTGGAACACAGAATTATTCGATTAGCAGCTGTAGGTCTTCCACTTATCCCAAAAGCTCTGAGAAGAAGTGTTTTTAGCTTTATAGAAACCAATCGAATTGACTCGCGTCAAAAGAGAAAGGGGAAAGCAATCGTTGGTAAAGATTAGTATGGTACTTTTTTAAAGCGTCATCCAACAGAGCCCGAAAGGTTTCAAATAGTTTCCATGAGCCCAAAAGGAAGTATGACAACTGAGTTATTCTGCAAATGGCTTAACCATTTTACTAGATATAAACCTGTTGGAACAATATTGCTCATATTTGATGGTGCCGCTTGCCATCTTGATATTACAATTGCAGACAAAGCTGAACAAAATGATATTGTACTGTTATGTCTTTCAAGCAATACAACACACGAGCTCCAGCCTGTCGACAAAGCAGTGTTTAGATCATTCGAACACCACTGAGACGATGAATTATTACAATATAGGGACCAAAATCCAGATCGTCGTTTAAGCAAAGATAGATTTTTCGTTGTTTTTACAGCTGTTTGGGAAAAATGTATGACGATTGTAAACATAACAAGTGGATTTAGACGTACCGGCATATACCCTTACAATGCCAGCGCTATACCAAATGAAGCCTTTGCCCCATTAACGATATCAAGAATGATTTTCGAAGTAGATACGTCTTCTGATGAAGTCGTACCATTATCAGAATTACGTTTGAAGATTATTGGGTAATAATAAACCCACGGTAATAATTGAACCCAATCCTGGGTCATCAGGTATTCAACGCAAGTATCAAACAACAAATACATAAACTATCCTTCGTGAGAAAAAAAAACAAAATACCTTACGAGAAAAATCATCCAGACTTCCAAGCAAGACTTTTAAGGAAATTTTAAAAACTATTATAAATCACAGCATATAACAAGAAGTTTATTTAAACAAAGACAATAATCGCGAAACCAAATAAAAAAGGTGACGGTGCATCATGGTATTGTTTCCTTTGTGACACGAATAGACATTTAAATAAAATAAAATATGCGGTCTTGCTTGGTTTGTAGCTCATGGAGAGTGTGCTGGTTTTGTTTCAGATGATGAAGAACAGTTTATTTGTTCACGGTGTGAAAATTAAGTAATTTTATATACAGGGCTTTATTTTCCGCGTTTTCTGAAAATACAGACCAGTGTCGCTTTTTTATAAATCTTATTCTCTGGTTTTTGTTTGACTTTGTAATATGTTATTGCGGCAATAAGTTATTATTATCTAAAAAAACTCATAACTACAAGTCCGCTTCAAAAACTGTACCTCTATTCCTAATGCATGCACGAACCCTTTTCGTAATTTCCGATTTTGTTATCTTATTTGTAATTTGACTTTTGGAAACATGTGCTTCATTTTGGATTTTTTTTATTAATTCATTCTTAGTGTTGACTTGTGTAGCATACACTCTTTCTTTCATGTGGGCCCACACATAAAAATCAAGGAGCGTCAAATGAGGACTCCGTATAGGACATGGAATTAGTCATCCTCTCCCAATCCAACGATTAGGAATCATTTCCGATTAGGAATAGTGTGCTGGGCATCCATCACGCTAGATACAATATTACGTCTGTTAACTAAAGGTACATAGTCAAGTAGTTCTTTTAACTAGTTACGTAAAAATTCATTGTATGTCGCGCTAATTAAACCATCAGATGATAAATGAGGAGCAATAAAATCATTTCCAAAACTTCTTCTGCATTAAGACGAGTAGGTCCTATACGATAGGCATTTTTTAAATTACTAGTCTCACGATCAGCTAAACCCTAATAAGTAGTGACAAATACGCTAACATGAGGAAACCGTCTATTTGGATACCGTTCTTGAGACTCTTTACTCTTTTTTGATACTATCTACCTTAATGTTATCGAGAGTTGTTCTTTATGGCTTATATCAAGAGTACAGTCAGCTATGATTGCAAAATGCTTTGAATTCTATCAATTCATTTTGTATATTTTTGCCACAATAATGGTCAACCACTCACCTTTCATTGCTAATTTGACATGCTTGTTCATGACAGGGTCAAACCTTGCTAATAATTGTACGGGCGCTATAAATTTCCCATTATTTGAGGTAAATAATTTATCAGAAGATACTCTGAAAGCCAGATTATTTTCAGCTAAATATAATGTAATCTGCATCAGTCGTTGGGGCACATTTTTCCAGCGAAACTTTCCTTAGAAATTAATTTTTGTGTTTCTTTGTTTTTCTTATAACTGATATAAAACCTGGATACATTGAAACTTAACTCAACTACAGAAGAAAACAGCAAAAAACATTAAAGTATTGCATTTCTTGTTGCTTTACGTTTATTTTTATGATTTTTATGTTATTAGCTACTTAATAGATTCGCGAATGTCCCTTGATGGCGCCCTCTTGGCCTTGGCGCCCCGGGCGTTGGCCCCCATCGACCCCAACCCAAAGCCGCCACTGCCATTACTACAGTACAGTACAGCAACGTGCTACAATACAGTACCTACAACCTGCAACACGAATTTACGCAGAAAGTATGAAAACCGTTGAAGTAATACACCGTATAAGAATTTAGAATTAAGAATTTTAGTTTCGGAGGCGTCCGTTCGTCTTTTTTCGGATACATAACAATATAGATTTATAAACTAAAACTAGAACTAACAATAACACTATCACTACGTATATTTAATCTTACAACTACTTCAATAAAAAAATACAACAATCTAGCGCTGAATAACAATTAAAACTAGAACTAACACTAGACCTAGACCTAGAAACTTTCGGGTTAAGCTGTGCGTCTCAACAACCCATGCTACTAAAATTTGAAAACAATTCGATAAAAATTTAAGGGCTATTCTTCCAGAAAAAATTCTTGGATATCTATGTTATATATTTTAGCTCGCATTTTTTGAAATAAAATTGAAATGTACAGGTGTCCCAAAATTGAGATACCATGCCTAAGTTGACATTTTAAAATAGGAACCCCCATTTTTTTGTTGCATTTATGGATTCTACGTAACTTCTGAGTATTTTCCATGTAGCTGTCTTCGAAAAAATAGCAGTTAAAAAATACTGTTACTATTTTATTTGCAATAATAGAGTAAACTGCGTTATTATCTGTTTCTGTGTTAATTTGTGACAACTGTTTAATAATGTAATGATAACCATAAATTATGTTTTAACCCATAAGCAAATTTAGTATTTTAACATACTGTTTTACAATTTTTTTTATACCTATATTTATTTTTCTTCATCCTCACTGTGTTTTACAATTTCAATATTAGTTGCAATTGACGATAAAAAATTATTTCTTTCTTCATCATTTTCAAAGCTTGTAAGTTCTTCAGAAAAATCTGTATTATTCCTTGATTTCTTGCTATGAAATGATGTTATAATTGGGTCTGAAGATATTAATAGTGTGTTTAAAATGTCTCTATTATTGTGTATTCTTGACAATTTTCTGGAAAAGTTCTCTATACCTTCTAAGGTCTTTATTCCGAGTTTCTTGCGCTTCTTCTGATAGCAGGCCAACCTGGATACTTAATGATTTAATTATTAAGTGGCCATGCACAAGAATTTTATGCACTGCCACAGGCATATAATACCAATTATATAATTGATTCTATTATGGAATAGTGTCGTTTGTAAAATTTTTAAATGCAGCTGTGTACATTTCTTGATACTAATTTTTGTGAAATAGGCATCTGGTTTGGCATTTTAACGCGTCATTGATTTTCTTTTTTATTACTGTGTATTGGATCGGTATTTTTTAACTAAAAAAATACTTCGGACTTGTTTGGGAAGAAGGTTACAACATGATATCCGAATCGTGACTGTTTTTTTAAAGTAGAGTTAGTACTAATGTTACTTCATAAAAAATAGTTGTTCTGAAAAATTGTAAACGACTGATAGTTTCAAAACTAAATTTCAGTAAAATAATAAAGGAAAAAGTACAAATTTTTTTTGTGTGAACTTGGTATAAAACAAAACGTGCAAAATTAACGCTAAAGTTCAACAAATAGCAAAATCAAACCGAAAAGAAGAAAAACCAAGCGGCACAGTTAATTAAGACGTCTCAACATCAAAATGCATGATTTTTTATACAATAGTTTTTAATATAACTGTATTTGACATTGACTGAAAATGATTTTTTGTTCATTTTTTAGGCCATCTGGTTGGTTGAAACATTAATGTAGCACTGATTTAATAAAATAAAAAATATTTCAACATTATTTGGCGCTAGAGAAGTTTAAGGTATGCTTGAAAATAAGATCTTAACCAGTAGTAAATACGTACAAAGTTTCAAATTCTACGGTTTACTTATACCCGAAATAAAAGATGAAATGTAAATTTTTGGCTCAACTTTGACAGCTCATAGCTCGAAAACAAAAGAGTTGCGACCCTATGTTTATATAAAAAACTTGCGTTATTTTGGCAAGTACTACGTCCTAGTAAAGTTTCCCGATTAAAAACTGAACCATCCTGTATATACATACCATACTGTAACCATACTGTATATACATCAACCACGGTTAATCAGAACCCCGGCTAAATGGTTCACGGATAATCGGCATTTTACTGTATTTAAAATATTTTTTAACTTAAAATGTGTATTAGAGCGTAATCTATCTAAAGAAGTCGATATGTTGCCAAAGTCTCTATTATTAATCTCTAAATTCCAATATTTGTAGAAAAAATGTAGAAAAGCCAAAAAATTTACATAATTCCTAAACTATTCTACTTAATAATGCATTTCAATACGCACGTTTATGTGGCAGTCACCCTGTATAATAAATAATCGCAAAATTTAAATATTTATCTAAGAAATTCTTTTGAACGTTTGTTCTAAATTCTAATTTTAACCGCTCGTGGTGTGTACGTGCCTTAAAAACGGATCTAATTGAAAGTGTCAATTTATACAAAATAAAATGTGCTTTCCAATTATTGGATTTACGAAAACGAAGCGATAACTTTAAGAATAATAAAAAAAAAGTTTCAAATGAAAACAGAGAGATAACGAGAACACGATTCGGGATCCGGTCAAAGTATCACGCGTTTCGACGCCGCTTCAAACATACACCTTATAATGGTTCGCCTTGGCGGTTAATTCAAAAAAAACAAACAATTAGTTTAAGTGAAAAATTTAGTAAATTTAAATGTACAAACCGAAATATCTCTTTAAAAATGTTATCTCAGGTAAGAAGGGATATAAAAATCTAATTCTACTTCGTTTCATAACCTCACTTTATCTAAACGTCAAACACAAACGTCACGAGTTAAAAACGTAATGTTTTTTTGTTTCACTTTTCGATAATAGATGGAGCTGAATTTAATTTAATTTTATTTAAATTTTTTAATTTAATTTTTATTTTAGGAAGAAATTCAACATATTCTTATAGTAATACGTCTAATTTAAAGGATTATGGTAATGCTTTAATTGTTTCAAAGTTATCCGGTTATGAATTTGAGAGGCACCGGAACAGTGACATGACTCCGGATGATCTTCGCCAGAAATTAATTCGGCGAGGAACCGATTTTGATAGATTAATTAAAAGTCATGATAATCATAAAAAATATGAAAGTGATATGGTTCAAAGTCTTGAAAAATCAGGATTTAAAGTGAAAGTAGTGAACAGGTAAAAAAAATAGGTTTGAAGTGTTCAAAATGTACAATTTAGTGCTGAATAACAACTAAGACTAGAATTTAATCTTATAATATCACTAGAACTAACACTAGACTTAGTACTAGAAATATTCTGGTTTAGCCATGCGTCTCTCAAGATGGCTAAACCCCAGTGGATGCTCATGAGTAATGTGTCTTGGGATTATTAATTTATTAAAACTTTATTAATGTACCTTTCTACACACCTAATTATGTTTTAAAGTTAAAATCCATTCCTCTTTCTTTGTCTGTGATGAACTTATTTAACACTTTTTCATTAAAGTAAGGAATTGTTTGAACTATTGCACTTTCAATTGATAACATTCCCAAAGCACTGAGAGGATCTTCACACATAGTATTCCTTAGAAAAGTTAATAAGTTTTAACTTCGAAAAACACCTCTGTGGTTCTGCTGTTGTCATTGGTATAGTCACTAATATTCGCTAAGTTTTAGTGATTTCTTTAAAGCAGTATCTAAACTAGTGATGGAACGGGTAGTGATTTTGCGAAAAGCTGGATACCGGATATTCGGCATCCCCTTCGGCCCATTAATGGCCCATCCGACCATTATGGTTATAATTTCTAGTACATTTCTGAAGCGATACCCTACATTGCCACATTATTCCGATATTTGAATAAAAATGCAATTAATAAGAAAGCTGATTTCCAGAATTAACTTTTTTGATGCTGATTTAACTAACGAAGCAACTCTAAAAACAGGATACTTTAATTGGCGATATTTTCACAAGGATCCTTCAAGAAATAAATTTTGTAGCGGATTTTGAAAATTATCGATGAAAATTGCAACATCGAAAATTTTATCAAAACTTCAAATATTGTTTTCTCAAAAACTAAAAGTTATTTTTCAAAACGGGTTGGTTNTTTCAAAAATGTATTTCTCAAGAACTAAAAGTGATTTTTCAAAACGGTTTTTTGCATTAAAAAGAGGATACTTTAATTAATAACTGGTGATAAAAAAAATTATCGGTGAAAATTACAACATCGAAAATTTTATCAAAACTTCAAATATTATTTTCTCTAAAACTAAAAGTTTTTTTTCAAAACGTGTTGGTTCATTGGAAAGAGGACACTTTTATTAACACTTTGAAAAATTTTCATACTCAAATTCCAAGAAGTGGATTTTATTCGAATTTTTAAAACTTTATCGACGAAAATTGCAAAATTCGAAAAAAATTTCGGTCATTTCAAAAATTTATTTCTCAAAAACTAAAAGTGATTTTCCAAAACGGCATTAAAAACAGGATACTTTAATTAATAATTGGTAATATTTCCATAAGGATCCTTCAAGAAATAAAGTTTGTAGCGGATTTTACAATTTATCGATGAAAATTGCAACATCGAAAATTTGATCAAAACTTCAAATGTTGTTTTCTCAAAAACTAAAGGTTATTTTTCAAAACGTGTTGGTTCATTGGAAAGAGGACACTTTTATTAACACTTTGGCAAATTTTCATACTCATATTCGAAGAAATGGATTTAATACGAATTTTTAAAAATTAATCGACGAAAATTGCAAAATTCGTAAAAATTGTCGATTATTTCAAAAATTTATTTCTCAAGAACTAAAAGTGATTTTTCAAAACGGCTTTTGAATTAAAAAGAGGATACTTTAATTAATAATTGGTGATATTCCCACAAGGATCCTTCAAGAAATTAATTTTATAGCGAATTTTGAAAATTATCGATGAAAGTTGCAGCATCGAAAATTTTATCAAAACTTCAAATATTGTTTTCTCAAAAACTAAAGGTTATTTTTTAAAACGTGTTGGTTCATTGGAAAGAGGACAGTTTTATTAACACTTTGAAAAATTCTCATACTCATATTCCAAGAACTGGATTTTATACGAATTTTTAAAACTTAATCGGCGTAAATTGCAAAATTCAAAAAAATTATCGATTATTTCAAAAATTTATTTCTCAAGAACTAAAAATAATTTATCAAAACGGCTTGTTGCATTAAAAAGAGGATATTTTAATTAATAATTGGTGATATTTTCACAAGGATCCTTCAAGAAATGAATTTTATAGCGAATTTTGAAAGTTATCGATGAAAATTGCAACATTGAAAATTTTATCAAAACTTCAAATATTGTTTTTTCAAAAACTAAAGGTTATTTTTCAAAACATGTTGGTTCATTGGAACGAGGACACTTTTATTAACACTTTCGAAAATTTTCATACTCATATTCGAAGAAATGGATTTAATACGGATGTTTAAAACTTGATCGACGAAAATTGCAAAATTCGGAAAAATTGTCGATTATTTCAAAAATTTATTTGCAATCTGGACTTTTAGGGCATCTGATTGAATTTTTTGTTACTTGGTTGTACAAAATATCAACATGTGGCATAATTTTCTCAAAAAAATTCAGCTAAAACAAAAAGCAATTATCTTCAAGCCTTTTAACTAATCTAGCCGCCTTCGTAGTTGTTTCTGCATTATATTTTTTTGGGTATCCTATTCCAATATTTTCAACACATGTGAGAATTTCATCGTTGAAAGTAAATATGATTTGGATCATTTGCGAATTGGTGCTCCAACGCGTTCGTGACGGTCTTGGTATTCTTTTATCACTAACCTCTCTTACACTCGGTATACTTGATACAGCGTGTTCTAATAATTTAACTTACTTTAACACAAAATGTGCATTGTTATATACTTCTTTAATTTTAACATTTACATCTCCCAAATGGCCTCTCACGACGGCTGCTCCATCGTAAGTTTGGCCAATTAATTTATTTGCAGAATTTTTCAACACTAGACGCAGTTGTTGTAAAATACATTTGGATAACAGATCAGCGTCTTGCCCTTCTGGATTGCAAAAACCTCAAAACCTTTCAAAAATCTGCCCGTATAATTCATACCGGAACACTAAAACCATCTGACACTGTGTTGAAATATCTGTGATGTCATCAGACATTACTGCTAGAAAAGAACTTTTTTCAATTTTTTGCAAAATATGATCTCTTCAAACATACATTGTAACAATTCATTTTGCACAGTTTTCGAAGTCCCTTTAAAAAAACGCGAATCACTTAGATGTTTATCTAAAACCGAATCACTCTTTTAATTATGTCCACGAAGACGAAGGTTAGATTGACGTTGGCTTATACGTCCTTATCGAAAAACTGTTGGTTGAAGTAAATTGGTTTCGTAAATTGCAATGACGCGTAATTAATATTGAGTTGATTTGTTTAGGTTGAACAATTTAATTCAAAATAATGTTTAGTTTTATACTAACTAGTTCAAAATATAGACAGTATATTATGATTATTTTATATTTATGTATAAAAATTAAAAAAAAAACGATTGTTTTCACAAATTCATTCTTTGTAGTCCCAGAGTCCACCCTCATTAGCAGCCACTGCTAAACCCGAATGATTCTGATTCTAGGACTTGTGTTAGTTCTAGTGATAGTGCTAGTGCAAAACTAGAACTAACAGTAGATCTAGAACTAGAAAATATCGGGTTTAGCCGTGCGTCTTTAGACGCACTTTCTAGTTCTAGGTCTAGTATTAGTTCTAGTTTTAATTCTTATACAGCGTTAGACCAAGAACTAGAATCATTCGGGTTTAGCCGTCTTAGAGACGTGCAGCTAAACCTAAATGATTTTAGTTCTTGGTCTAGCGCTGCATAAGAGTGTGTCCGAAAACGCACTGCTAAACTCGATCCTTTCTATATCTAGTGTTAGTTCTAGTTTTAATTGTTATTCAGCGCTGGATTGTTGTATATAGGATGTTTCATAATATATGCGCAGGACTTCAGGAAGTGAAAGCTTGTCCAAAAATTTGAAAAAATGTTTCTATCAACTTACCCTCTAAAATGCACCATTTTACCAGTCCTGCGCATATATTATGAAACATCCTGCATATGATTATTTTATATTTATGTATAAAAATTAAAAACACGATTTTTTCACAAATTATTGGGTGGGGGGGATGTGAGGCGGAATACCAGAGTCCGCCCTCATCAGCCGCCACTGCTAAACCCGAGTGATTCTAGTTCTAGGTGTTGTGTTAGTTCTGGTGATAGTGCTAGTACAAAACTAGAACTAACACTAGACCTAGAACTAGAAAATATCGGGTTTCGCCATGTGTCTTTAGACGCACTATCTAGTTTTAGTTCTAGTTTTTATTCTTATGCAGCGTTAGACGTTAGAATGATTCTAGCATTCTGGTTTAGCCGTCTTAGAGACGTACGGCTAAACCCAAATGATTCTAGTTCTTGGTCTAGCGCTGCATAAGTGTGTGTCTGAAGACGCACGGCTAAACCCGAAACTTTTTAGTTCTAGGTGTAGTGTTAATTCTAGTTAGTGTGAATCATTCAGGTTTAGCCGCACGTTTCTAAGACGGCTAAACCCAAATGATTCTAGTTCTTGGTCTAGCGCTGCATAAGAGTGCGTTTGAAGACGCACGGCTAAACCCGAAACTTTCTAGTTCTAGGTGTAGTGTTAGTTGGTTTTAATTCTTACGCTAGACCAAGAACTAGAAACATTCGGGTTTAGACATCTTTAGAGACGTGCGGCTAAACCCGAATGTTTCTAGTTCTAGGGATAGTGTTAGTTCTAGTTTTAGTTGTTATTCAACGCTAGAATGTTGTATATTTTTATTGAAGTAGTTGAAAGGTTAAATATACGTATTAGAAAAATACGTATATTAGATTATACAGGGTGTTTCAATGGTGCATACGTTAATATGTTAGAGATTTTTTCATTTTAAGCAGAAAAGTTCCTATAAACATGTGCTCAATTCTCAAAGGTAACTGAGATACAGCCAGTTAATACATAAATTGATATCACGCACGGCTGTTGTGAAACAGTCATTTGTCAATTTTTGACATTTAACATTATTTGCTTGACGTGTCGACTAAGTTGTTGATAATGCCACATATTGACTCATGCACGTGCTACTCGTCAGAACTATAGGAGACGGTTTCCTAACCGAGATTCCAGATTGCATGAAACTGATTCTGTTCCAAGTACAAGTATTCATTCTCAACGTGCAGGTGTGCAAACTCTGAATGAAGTTGAACAAATTCTTCAATCGGTAGAACGCATTCCATCTACCAGTACAAGAAGACTTTCTCCTCGTCTTGGTGTTCCTCATGTGAAAGTATGGAGAACATTGTGTACTCATTTCTTGTATTCATTGAACCAACAGATTTTGCCAGGAGATTGGAATTTTGTGGATAGGTACCACTTTCACTCGTAATAATAACAGTCGACATGATCACCGTTGGTCTGAGGATAATCCGCATGCCAGTGTTGGAACAAATTTTCAGGTAAAATTCTCTGTGAATGTATGGTGTGGAGTGATTGCCAATAACTTAATTGGACCTTTCGTGCTACCCGAGCGTCTAACAGCGGGCAGATATTTAGAGTTCTTGCGCAATTAATACTGTTCCAATACTGTTAGAAGATATTCCTTTGGCCACCGGAGCCGATATGTTCTTCCAGCATGATGAGCCCCTGTTCACTACGGCTGTCAAGTGACGTAATACCTGAACCAAACTTTTGCGGAACGGTGCAAATTTCGATATTTTATGTACACATTTAAATAAATCAGTTTATGCATTAACTGGCTGTATCTTAGTTACTTTTGAGAATTGAGTATATGTTTTTAGGAACTTTTCTCCTCATGAAACATCCTGTATAGTAGATTTAGTTTTAGTACAATAGAAACATACAACAATCTAAAGCTAAATAAAAACTAAAACTAGAGCTAACACTACCACAACTAACAGTGAACTTTATTCCTTGTTTTAGTCTTAATTATAATGATGATAGTGTAAATTGGGCGGATATAGTATTTCCAACAGGTGGTGATGGAACATTCTTATTAGCCGCCGGAAGGGTTCGCACAAATAGTATGCCAGTAATCGGTTTTAACTCATCGCCAGCTCGTTCGGAAGGTCGATTATGTTTACCAAAAAGTTATTCGTACAACATTGAAAAAGCAATAGAAAAATTACGAGCTGGTCAATTTGAATGGTTACGTAGAAGTCGAATTCGCGTTACGATCACCGGTGAAACTCAGGATATTGTTTCGACTCCTTTATATGTACTTCGTGATCAAGTTTCATTTAAACCATCTCAGTATCGTATAGAAAAAGGTTCTAAATTGATTCCACATTTAGCATTGAATGAAGTTTTTATTGGCGAAACACTTTCGGCGAGAGTATCAAATTTGGAACTTTGGCTGGATAAATCGAACGAATCGACTACTATTAAATGCTCAGGTCTTTGCATTTCTACCGGCACGGGTTCGACATCATGGCATTTGAGCATGAATCGACTCCCAGCTCAAACTGTTGAAACACTTTTAACTCTGTTGCATTACCCCGAACCAGAACGAACTGAAAAAGCAAGACAATTATGTAAAATGTATAACGATGCTTTAATTTTTAATGCAAGTAAGATAATTAAAAACAAATTTGTCATGAATTATATTTTAATTTTTTTTAGCTGAAACTCGTTTAGCTTATACAATAAGAGAAAATATTTGTTTGGGTGTTTGGCCTCAAGGACGCGATATAAAACGAAGAGGTTTCGTGGACACCATGAAGGTTAAATCGAAATGTTTCGATGCCGCCTTAGTTGTAGATGGTGGGATATCTTATGAATTTAATGATGGAACTATCGCAGAATTATCAGTTCTACCAGAAGATGCTCTTTTAACGGTCAAAATTTTCGAGTAAAAAAACGAAAATATGTTGCGTTTTTTATTAAGTGTTAATCCACATCTTTTGTGATAACAAATCCTTCTAATTTAGGGTATACTAAGTGCTTCTTTTCCTATTGGTGATTAAAACTACATCAATCAACAAAAAAATATAATTTTCTTTATAAATTTATTAAATAAAAAAAATAATCTTACAATTTTTTTTCGTTCAAATCCATTTAAATGAATGAAATTTTTTTTAATCTGACATTTTGATAAATATACAATGACGAAACTATTTAAATGCGTGTGAGAGGAACGTTGCCTTCTAGTAGTGGTCAAAATATATATTAAACCTACCGAAATAAGTGTGTAATCCCTCTCAAAAAGCTCCAGAGTTAAAATATATAAAATATATTTTAAGAGAAGACAAAAAGATGCTAAAATCTTTCACATTTTCACTGGGTAATGTATTATTATCTTAAAGTAGTCCGCGTCTGTTATTCGTTTTTGTTACTATTCGTTTTTTCACGCTTCATTTCTCTCGGGTTACTCGAGAAAAACTCGCTCTCGGCTTTTCACGATGATGGATAAAAATAGAAACGTTCCGAAAATAACCGCTTGGTGAACTTTACGTTTATAACCAAAGATTTTTCTTATTTTATCACTAAAATAAATAGAATTTTATTAAAAAAATATTTGTATTGCGTGTTTATAAGAAATTTTTATTACTATAACGTTATTAATAATTGCAATACTGTTTGAATCATTGCATGATATATTGACTTGGTTGTGTCAAAAAAGAATTTATGGAAAGGTTCATAATTCTCCAAAGTGTCATCAAGAAGATTAACTTGATGTTATGGATTTTTCTTTATTGATAAAATATGATCCTCATCGATTATGTGCACACGTATTGCACAGGGCGGGTACCAAACGATTTTTAATACATTAGCTAGCTCCCAAACCAACCTCAAATGACGCAAATACTATCAACCTCACCAACCTCCTTCAACAGTTAAACGAACAACCTAAATTAAAGTTTTACTTTAATTTCTTCAATCACTACGGACCTTCCGTTCCTCGCCACGGACTAAGCCATAAAACAAAGAGTGAAGCTGCTCTCGGTAAAGAATTATCCACTTTGTTACAGAGCAGGCCAAATTAAAGAGTGAGGCTGCTCTCATTATCAGTAAGAAAGCTATACTTCATTACAAACAAATAATAAATAAATAAAACCCTACACTTTTCCTATATCATGAAGACATTAAACCATTATGTCCAAAATTCAGAAGAAATCGGTCAAAATAACAAGAAGTTACACATCAATGTCGACGAAAGATACATAATTGCAAAAGACGCCAGATTACATACAAAAACGTCTAACAAAACAGCCATGAAAAAATGGAAGCCATAAGAGCACCTCACACTATTACCTGCAAGTATATAACACTCTAAACTACATAAAAGAATGTCCAAAGACACAACATCCCGAAAGCAGGATAGAAGCAGTAGGTGAAGATCAAGAACAGATCCGAAGAATAAAAACACAAGAAGCTGAGTAGTCGAATTAGTGGGCAAACTAACCGATAAAGTAAAAATGGAAATGGTGCAATCTAAACAAAAAAGTACTTATCAATATCTTAAACTTCAACAACAATAGGAAGAAGATATCCAAGTAGAAGAAACAAGATTTCAAACCTGATATTTCCAAGAAGATGTATATGCAAATGGATTTTCTGCCGTAGTGGAAGAACTAGAAAACATTATTTCTAACCCATCTTTCTCTGAAAAACGAAATACTCCTCAGAACAACACTATTATCCCTCTTCCACAAATAAAAGTTCCCCTATTCGATCGGTCCAATTCCGGTATAATGAATTGGTCATAATTTATTATAGTATATCCGTAACAAAAGTCAAAAAAATGTTATATTTAAAGGCGTACCTGAAAGGAAAATATCTGATAGTAATTATGATGCAGCGTGGACACTTTTACAATAATGATACCAAAACAACCAATTAATCCTACCAAAACTACTTGACAAGATTCAAAAGTCTGCGAGCAACTACAACTGAAAATGGAAAAATAAATTACACGATACAACAATCGAATTTGGAAATTTCAACAGGATCTTGGAGTCCCATCATAGGAACAATACTTGTTAGAAAATGGGACTATGAGACGAACAAGCTATACGAACTATCGTTGAAAGATCCAAATGAAATACAAGAGTTCATTAAGTTTCCTCAGATCGTAATTCCAAACACTAGATGCAATAGCTGAACATAAAAAGCGAATAAGAATAATTGCAGATATTGTAAGGAAAGCCATGTAATACACTACTGCATAAAATTCAAGAAACTTACAGTTCCAGAATGGACAGAGTACTACATCAAAGATCAGAAATTGTGCGAAACTTGCTTGTCTCACGACCAAAGCAACAAGTTCAACTTAACATCAAAATGTTGCATTTGTAATAAACCACATCATACACTTCGTAGAGATGAGAACAAGTGGACCAATCAAAAAACCAAATCTACAAAAAATGTAGTCTTAGTCTCTACAAAAAAAAAAGAAAAAGGGAAAAGTATTGCATCAAGTGGACTAGAAAATGAAGTTTTTCTAACAACTGTCTTGGTAAAAGTTAAGATAGTTCTCCTTCATTACGGAAGAAGCGGCAAATTTACTGGTTCAACTAAGACAAAAAGAATGCTAAAGTGTCTGTGCTGGAAGATTACTCCCAAAGATATATAAATGGAAAGTAAACCTAAACGTTCAACCCCATTTTACCCTTTTACGAGCAACTTTATCTTCAATACCACTTTCCTCAGACGAATACTAGAACAATAAAATCCTAGCTGATCCCACGTACAATATTCTTGGTCCCATCGGAGCAGAAGAATATGGGAAAATCATTCAAGAAGGGATTCATAAAGCTGAACATTGATTATTAGGACAAAAGACGGAGTTTGGATGGATTTTATCAAGAACGATGAATTAGAAATAAGCTAGTACAATCACAAGCATGATAAATCAATCATCAGTCAACCAGAGTCAAAGAATTAAAGACGTTCTACGAAATTGAAGAGGTTATATTGGTTTAATGAGGAACCAGGTTTTATAGAATTAAATGATAAAGTTAACAACCATAGACTGGAATTTGGAAGATAAAGTTCAAATTCTTTGTTGTGATCCTGCAGGTTCAAATACGAGTTGAATCAATAGTGCTTGCCTGCTTCTCAAACGAAAAGTTAATATGTGTAGAAATGGTTATTTTTGGTTGTCGCAATCACAATGTCTAGATGAAAGTTATGAACAAAGATACTGCAACACAGCTAGACATTTGCTCGTTGATCATTAGTCAACCCATAGATATAATGCATTTTGGCAATAAAAATACCTTACCAAGATTTGTGCTTTTTGAAGTTAATGAAAGATATGGAGAAGGTTAAGAAAACCTTCTTAGAGGAAGCTTTGTAAATGATTTTGACTAACGAAGTATCTATTTTGCCACTATTTGATGTCGAAGTAAAAATTCATCATAATAATTATCCAGTGTGCTCGGAAATTCCCTTTACAAACTTCTAGGGCTTGTAAAGAGGAGTACATTACATTACATTACATAGAATATATATCGGGTAGGCGGACCAACCAACCTTGCACCGCGACCCTAAGGATCTATGGTACCCCGACAGATATCGTTATCAAATTTCACCGTGCAGTCCAATGCTCTTAACATTAATACCTTGCTCGGTGAAAGGTCATTCAGATCTTTTGAGGAGATAAACTGCGACCCAAAAAGCAGGGCAGTGGCATAAAACATGCTCAACCGTCTCTGTTTCCTCCGCATATAGTCGGCATTCACATCGCCTGGAGAGCGGCTTGACTGTCTGAGAAAATTCGTACTGTCATGTTCTTCACCCCTCTTTCAAGAAGGATTTTAGCACCCATGTCAATAGCAAATACTTCCGCCTGGAATACAGTACAGTACATACCCAGGCTGTAAGCTTGCTTAATTTGAGGTGTCTGGCAGTATACTCCTGCTCCGACCCCTTCAGGCGTTTTTGATCCATCTGTGTACACGCAAATGTCTGCCTGAACCAGAGAATTTTCATTTTCGATCCAGGACTGCCGCTCAGGCAGTACAATCTGGTATCGAGCATTAATCATTGATAGTGATAACGCCAAATCTGACGGCATTGATAGCACAGTATCAGTGCTTATAATGTTTTCCGCAGCCCATTGGTAGGACATGACGGAACAGTTTTGAGCATATTGCTTAAATCTGTAAATGGTTGTTCTAGCCACTTTCTCTATATGCAAATGCAGAGGAGGTAGGCCAAGCGGAACCTCCATTGCTAGAGTTGGCTTATCGCACCAGAAATTGCCAATCCGGCTACTCGTTGAATTCGTGAAAGTTTACTAATAACTGAAGTCTGTCGGACTTTCCTATACCAGGCTGCTGCTCCGTGTGTGATCATAGGTCTAACCACAGTCACATAGAGCCAGCACAGTCTTTCAGGGGTAAGACCCTAGAGGGGAGTAAGTAGATGTTTTGAATTGGAACCTATGTCCGAACACATACCGTTTCTGTGCTACAACCGTTTGAAAACAGGTTTGCTCAGTCATATGACGTAGTGTGTTTAGGTTGTATGAGGTAATACCAATTGACCCCTCCTGCCTCTCGGAGCTGGTTTGCGTCTCATTCACGTGTCTTTCAGTGTTAGAGCAACATGGTCCTTCTGTATGCCGAAGCTTGAACTAATGGAAAAGCTGCTCGTCGCCTTTATAATGACCGTTATCAATAACGTCCGACTCCATCGAATACCCTTTTCGTCACAATTATGCAACGGCTTCGAGAATGAAGTATGTACCTTCACCGCCTGCAGGAATGACTGTGGTGCTACAAGAAGACACCACACTTCCGAATAGGAAGAAGCTATACCGCATCACGTTGAAGAAAAGCGATCAACGAGTATACGAGCAATTACACGTGCAATGGATGTTGCATCCAGCACCGTCTAGAATGTTCTGCATGAACAACAACTATAGCTCGGAAACGGCCAATCTGCTATTGCGACTATATCCGCGACTGCGTCTTTATAACCACTGATTGTTGGACTTCTCTTAAAATGGAAAGTTTTATGGCCTTGATTGCCCATTTCCTGAATGACAATTTTCAACCAATTTCACTTTTATTAGATTGTTCTAATAAGGCCGTTCAATATACCGCTTCAAATTTAGAAAATGAGTTAGATAGAGAGAACAAACAAGAGAATGGAAAATAGAAAACAAACTTTTAATAGTGCATTTATTTTTTTCATACCATTAATTTAGTTGTGACTAGTGATAGATTAAAAGACGAAGAGGTAGTTAATATTGACGGGTAAAATATATTGTAGAGCACTTTAAAAGAAACCACCGCGCTACCGTAAGAGTTATAGGGTACCAGCAGAATCAGGGAAATAAAGCCCCTCTAAAACTTTTTCAAGATGTATCCACACGTTGAAACTCCATGTTTTACATGTTAGAACGGTTAATAGAACATGTAAAAGCCACTATGTCTATAATTAATATGGAACTAAAACATCATTTGACAATGGAGGAATGGGATATTATTAAGCAATTGGTTCAGATCCTTAAACCTTTCCAAAGCATGACCAAAAATATTTCAGGAGAGGAATACTTAACTGCTTCTCTGGTTATTCCAGTTGTGAATGGTTTGAAGTAGCCTCTTAAATATTATGACGACAGACCTTTGAAATTACGAAAACAATAATATACTATCCAAAATAGCAACATTTCTTGACTCAAGATTTAAAGAACTATCTTTTAAAGACAAGAGAAATGCAGAAATCGCCAAACAAAATGTTATTGCTTTGGTAGCTGAAAAGATTTCGAACGAGTTAGCAAGCCGAGCTGATAGTGAAAAGGAAGTTGTATTTAAATCAAATGAAGTCAGAAATCAAAATATAGAATATAGATACGGGAACTTTTACTACCAAGGCTATATTAGAAGTACAGCGATTTTTAGATTGCGAAGGTGCAATAAAGACGCATTGAAATGGTGGAAAGAAAATAAATATAATATTTGTTTCCGCACCTAGCATGTGTTGCGCAGAAGAGGCTTAGTGCATGCGTTACGTCTGTTCCTTGTGAAAGGCAATTTTCAAAAGCAGGGCAAATATTTACAGATAGGCGTAAAAATTCATCATAGTAATTAAGTAAGGATTTGTAGAGGCGTAAGTAGATATTTTTAATTGGAACCCATGTCCAAAAACTTACCGTTTCCGTGCTACAGCCGTTTGAAAACAGGTTTGCTCAGTAACATGGCTGTTACGTTGGATGAGGTAATGTCAATTGACGGCAATTGGTTGGTTTGAGTCTAATTCACATGTCTTTCAATGTTAGAGCAACATGAGTACACGTTTGCAGAATACACCGACATGATCCTTCTGTATGGCGATGCTCGAGGTAATGGAAGAGTTGCTCGTCGCCTTATCCTTTAATCTTCACCGCCTGCAGGAATGACTGTGGTGCTCCAAGGAGACATCGCACTCCCGAATTGGAAGAATGCATCACGTTGAAGTAAACCCGTCAACGAATAATTGCGCCTACAATGGATGTTGCTCCCTGCACCGTCTGAAATCTTCTGCATGAACAAAAACTGCAGCTAGGAAATGGCACATTTCCGGACATCAGTCCCAATTCAAAATATTACCTACTCAGTCCCTTCTACAAGTCCCTGAAGTGTGTAAGGGGACTTGGGAAGTATATCGGGTGTCCCGTTAAGGGTACGGAGCGGCTGTATCTCGATAACGGTAAGGTCTAGAGGTTTGAGAAGAAAATCCTTATAGGCAAAGTGGGCAAAAGAAATATCTGGAAATTATTTTGAAGTTCATAACTCATAAAGTTAGATGATGAGGTATAACTTTGACAACATCATTTGATAGCTTGGATAATACCGCATCGCTTTTATTGTGCAATATTTCTCATATCTGTCATAATAAGGGAGGAGGAGGCCAATGCAAGGTACGGTGCCATTGGTATCTGGTCCACTGAGTCGCCACCAATATGCTTATCAAGCGGGAAAATCAGCAGAATGGGCTCTACACAACTTAGTTGGTAGTGTATCCAGGATGCTGCAGGATAAAGAAATCTTTGTATCAATCTTCGTGGTATTGCGTTCAACAACGCAATACCACAATCTCTTGAAAGAGCTGCTCTTGACAGGGAAGTGGAAGCAACTATAGCGGGTTGGATCCGCAATATGTAATTCTGACGGTGAGATTTTGTTTAATCCTTTATACCGCTTATAACACTTAATTTTTCAGTCGTGCCTGAAGACGATAGTTAATATCGAAACAAATTTGTAAGCACCGAATTTTATAATAAATATTTCATCGTTTCCACCAAATAATTGGTTTTTTATTATTATTATATTATCAACGATGAATCTGGAGGTAACCCTAGCTAAACCATTTACAGATATAAGCAATATGCTCAAAACTTTTCCGAATACTGTGCTCTTAATGCCGTCAGATTTGGCAGGATCACTATCAGTGATTGATGCTTGATACCAGATTGTACTGCTTGACTGGCAGTCCTGAACCAGCAGTTGGTGTATTATTTGCGATGGCCAAATATAGGATTGAACTGTGGGTTGAAGAGAGACTTCGCCTACTGTGGACCAGTTCTCCTGGAATGAGACATGCTAAAGTGTTTATTAACATCGCCACTGTCAAACCCGGGAATATTTTAGGACTTGCTCGTAGCAGCATAAAAGTTCTAATGCGTGTCTTTACTGAGCACTGCCAATTAAAAGCACATCTCAACTTATTGGGTTTAGCCGACGATGTTGAATGCCGACTATGTGCGGATGAAGCAGAGACGGTTGAGCATGTTTTATGCCACTCCCCAGCCGTTAACCGTATCAGATTCTCGATTCGCGGTTTATCTCCTCAAAGGATCTGAATGACCTTTCACCGAGCAAGTTATATCTAAATTTGAGATCCGGTAATCATAATCTCTTTTCATTCGTTTATCATCTACAAAATTTTTTGGTACACTTTTCTTATGAGACCTTATAAGAAATAGGTCCACACTTTTCTTATAGCTCCACAAGCTAAGGTTTTCTCAATTTCCACTTTCTCCAAAAGCGGATACTTGTAAAAAGTTATCGAAATAAATCATTGTATTTTTATTCCACTCATCTTCAGTAAGTTGAAGGACAATCCTTTCGCCTAATCCATAATCTTGAACTGTTTCTTCAGTTTCAGGAGATTTTCCCTAATAGACATTAAATTTCTTGTCTGCTAAGCACCAGAGCTTATAACCTTTTTTTATGGACTTCATAAAAAGGGGTTATAAGAAGTTGTTGGTTAAAGAAATTGATTGTCATTTTCGAAGAAGTATGGACCAATATTGCAGCAGGCTCAAAATCCGCACCAAATCTCATGTGGGTTGACGCCGTATCGCAATTTTGCTTGTTAACATAGTCATTCATTCAAAAAGTCCGAAACGCTCCGAAATCTTCTCAGCGACCAAACGGTGTTGTGTCATTAACTTTGTGCTTCTGGTTCAGTTGGATCTCATATAATCTTCTCCGGTGAGACTAACTCTACGTGTAAATGTACTAACTTCTAGCAATTTACCACTTGCCTCCCAGAAACCAACAACGTCCCGAGATGTTTTGAGAGTGTAGCTGAAGATTACTTCTCACGTTATCTGATTGACACAGTACTTTGGGCATCCAGGGTTGTTTTATGATGATCTAGAAGGAAGTTATGCATCCACTCTACGTTGTTAAGGAGGCGCAATACTTCTACGTATGTTAAGGCTAAACGCCGGGAGTTGAGGTTGTCTTGAATACGAGAGGCTGTGTAGACCCGAGTATTAAAGTCGCTAATAGGTTAGCTATTTTACCTAGAATTGCATAAATTTTTGCATTATGACTATCAGATTATCATGGATTCATCCACAGCCTAGTGTCATGATAATAACTGGAGAACTGACGGTTAAGTGTTTCGGAACGGACGGATCTTGTATAGTTTATCCGTATTGTTCTTAGGATTAGTGTTGTTATCGTTGACATGCAGATATGATAAAATCTCCTGAAACCTGTTACGAGTCATTGTTCGTATGACAAGTGGTCATACGATCACTTAAGATATAGATCACCCAAGTCTTCAGCATTACTCTAGAAGAGTTTATAGCTTGGCAAACTGTGATAACTCATTAAGAAATTTATACCAAGGAAACACAGCAACTCTTCTCTTGCAAGTTTAGTGTTTTATTTCTTTGGGTGCACAAATTACTTTGAAAGGAAATATCTTTCACACAGTTACCCATCAGTGTTAGAAAATAACCTGTAGGGTTATTGCAAGTTGCAAAAGTATCACTAATTATTCCCTCTGGATAATGGTTTCCTGGAATTTCAGTCTGTTTTTCCCGTTTTCTCCATTTTCTATCAATTTCTGCCTTGTTCTTCTTCTTGTTCCCGTATTTCTACTACTTCAGTGTCACTTTCCTTATTTTGATTAGTTAGTTGTTCTACTTCTTGATCTTCCAGCATAGATACCTCACCAGCACTAGTAATAACAATGTCATCTTCTTCATCTTCTATGTCTGTCTGTTCAGAATTATCAAATAGCCGATTTTTTAATTCAACACAAACTTTTTTAGCCTCAACCAAAAGTTCTTCGTCAGTCTATCTATATTCGCTTGGCTCATTTTTACATCAATCACAATATTACCTAAACTATACCCCTAACCTTTTTAAAATTAAAATTTATATTTTATTATTATCCTCTTGTTTTTAGTGCTTCTTATATGGATATTTTCTGTAGATGCAAGATGTTGTAGACGTAAGTGTTCATAAAAGACATTAAATAAATCACCCTTTTTTGTTATAATTTTAGCAAGACCAATTAATTGTTACACCTGTGATAGTAGAATAGACGCAAAGTGTAGAGACCCATTTGATTTCTCGTTACACCCGAAATACCACCCCCCGCTATCACCTTGTAACGGATGTTGTGTTAAAATGGTTCAAAACTCAACTAAACGTAATATTTCTTTTTCACAGTTTTCTTTCATATTTAAATTTAAATTTTTCAAATCGTTTTTAGCAAATGAAGTTATTCGAAGAATGTGTACTTCAGATTTAAGTATAAATTTATTCAATGTCGATAATATCTGTATGAAGGAAAGTTCAGGAACGGGTCATCTATGTTTTTGTGAAGACGATATGTGTAATAACGTCGAGATAAATTTCAATTTTAATCTTTTATACGTAATAATATTAATGTGTTTGTTGTTAAATGCTATTTTATAATATTTTCGATTTAAAATAAACCATATTTTATTGAAATTTTTATTTGATGTTAAAAAGAAAATTATAAGAAAAATAAATAAAATTTGTTCTAAAGTAAACGGCGCAAAATTAACCTTGATGTTAAATAGAGTGTATAAAAAGGAAGAGATCTTTTTTAAAAATATCCAGTTCATTTTTAACCACCAAAAAAAATTTTATATTAAAGTATAATTTTTCCCTTTTCCCTTTGGACTTAGAGGGCGCTTCTAAACAGCCGGATCAATAATAGCGTTTAAGCGACGTTCGTGTTTTAACATACAACATTTTAGAAACGAATCCGCTACAAGAACCAAGCCAATGTGATTGGCCGTTTTAACTTTTTTATCGTTGGTTGAAAATCATCAAACGAAACATATCAGATAGTAATAATCGTTGAATTCTAAACAATATATACATAAAATCAAGAGAAATTGAAGAATCGTCAGCGTTTCTTTAAAAGAAGAAAATGAATAATACGTAACGTGTCCGGGGTTTTTAAATTTATTACTTTTATTTACATAAAAAATGTTTATGGGGTTTGTTGGGATTTAAATTAGTTTTTTTAGTGCTGAATTTTTACGTGGTGGTTCAGATTCATGAGGAATTCAATCTTGAAAAATGATCAAGTACATAGCGGTTGTAATAGGTAAGAAATTAATTATTAAATTTTAATTTCACGCTTATTTAATTTCATAAAGATTTTTTTTTTGTATAATTAATGCGTAATACTGCAACGACCATGTCTTGACCAACATATTTCAATGACATTTGTCGTAATGCGGATGCTACACATTGCCAACATAAATTAACATTAAAATGTTATTACTAAACGTTATTTCATTTTAAACTTTAGCCATAATTAACAAATTTATCAAAATTCTTAAAATACAACCTATTTTTTTTAATCAATTAAAACCAATTAATCTTTAATTAAAAGAGGCACATTCCATTTGTGTTTAATTTTAAACGTTCACAAACATTTGTTGGCAATAACTTTAATTAAACGAATCTAATAAATTTTGCCAACAATCAAAAAAAAATTGATGTTCAAAGCCAAGCGAAACAAATTGGAAATTGAAACAAAAAGATGTGATTTTTCAGATATTTTTTGCATTGTCACTGCCCACTGGACTTGTAGCCGTGAGTAAAACGAAACAACCCGATTAAAGTGCTTAATATCCCAAACGAATTAAAACACCTAATCAAAAATGTTTTTTTACATTTAAATGTTTATATTTTTTAATTTAAAAAAAATCTAAAACCGATGCTTCTCTTGTATTTCAGCTATAATATTAATAGCAATAACTGCACTAACAAATGCAGAATGCCAAAGTAAGTTTTTAAATAAAAATGGCATATTAATCCAAGCAGAATTAATTTTTTCACGTCTTGAAAAAAAAATTCAAATTTGGTTGCATCTCAATTTATTAGACGTGAAAAAATATGAATCAAGGACGTTCAACTCTAACTTTAAAGTTTAGCGTTCTTGATGAAATAACAATTTTTCACTCATAAAATTTTTATTCTTTTAGCGAGATCGGTTTATTGCTACGAATGCGACAGTTGGTCCGATATAAGATGCAAAGATCCTTTTAATTACACCGCGCTACCAAGAGATCAACCGCCGTTAATGCCATGCAATGGATGTTGTGTTAAAATGGTTCGAAACGCTAAATCACGTCAGTAAAAGTTATTAATTTTAATTTTAAACAAAACACTTATTACATCATATATCTGTTAAAATTGAAAAATTCACCTTGATATTTTTCCAAAGTCAGTTTTGGCCCAATTTTTTAGTACTGATACTCATCATCAGCCAAATAGTTAGATACGAAAATTGACTTAACCAAAAAAATAAAAAGAATTCATGAAAATCCCATAAAATTCCAATAGAATAATTTGGGCTCGGATATGGTGTTCATTCAAGTTCTTTGATTAGCTAATTCAGATAGCAACAATTCAATTTAATTCGTTTCCATGAGGGACATCAATGGAAAGAGGGTATGCACCCAATATCACACTATTGGTAGTGCAATACGCGATTTGCGTATGATACGTATTGCACTGTGATGTTGGTTGCATACTTGCAATGATGACGTCGGGTACCATAATTAATTAACATACTGTATGTAGCAAAGAGGAGGGTATACTTCCGCTATACAGCATTTAGGCCCCAACGACCCCCTTGTACATCCTCCTGCACTCTCTCCAGCTACATCAACCAGCCTAAGGAATTTCTGAAGGCTAGGATACAGCTCTCATCCTGAAGTCTTGCCTTGCTCTCTTCACAAAAGCGACAGAGAGGACTAACAGCAAGCTTAAAGTTATAATGATGCTTGTTTACCTTACAGTGACCCGTGACGAGTCCCGTTAAAGTTCGTAGAGCGTTTGTACCAAGCCTTACGAAAGACAAGCCTGCCTCTGCTGTGGGATAACGTAATACACACCTAGACAAATGGTAGCCCTTAACTCTGTCCCACCAGTTCATAAACTTTTTGTGGGTAAAATCTTTAGTTATCTCAATCTGTTGTTCATATAATCGCTGAACAAGTCGAATGTCCTTTTGTCCATTGAAGTATAACACAGTTATGCACTGCGGCCTTCTCCAATGTCAGATGACAACCTATAACAAGTACTGAGGTAATTGTTATTCTACTCAGGGCTAAAATAGCTTGTCTGCTGTCACTGCAAATTGTGAAAGTTTTTCCAAGTTGGATCTGACAATAACATCAGCGGCAAGTTGTATAGCGATTAACTCCGCCTGTATGACAGTGGTACTTTTACCTAGAGGTTCAGATACGTGAGAAGACTCCGGCTCCAGCTCTTTCCCGCCTACTTGAACCATCAGTGTAGATTTTAAGGCTGTTTTTTACCTCTACTTCTGTGGAACTTATGTGGGTGAGATATTCCCCTCGTAAAAATGTGTTGTAGGGGTGTGAAGTCCGTTTTACATTCTAGAATTGGTGAGTAATCCACCATTTCTTTCCAGAAAGCGGCATTTTTACTATCTCTCTCACCCATTAGAATTCCTGCTGCCCGCAGTCGAATCATGATCACCAGTTCCACCTCATTAATGAACAAATGAAGTGGCGTTAGGTTCAATATGTTTTCCAACGCTGCAGTGGGGGTAGTCCGCAGTGCACCTATAGCATGCAAACACGCAAGACTCTGTACTTTATTAAGTGCAGCAGTGGATGTAGATTGTAAGGTCTTTGACCACCATACTACTGCACCATATGTAAGCATAGGTCGGATTACAACCATATAAATCCAGAGGGCATTTTTGGGTGGAAAGAGGGTATTCTTTTTCTTCATATAGCGCTACAAGCCAAACTGGGCCTCCTTTCTTTTCAGCCTCCATACCTATCTATCTTCTCTTCTTCCATTTTCACCATATATCGTGTCTACTGTAACCTTCGCAATCTGATACATTCTGAGAGTGGGGTTCTTTAGAAAGATTGCGCAATTCTAATAATACGTCCAATTCTCCAAGGACCAAAAGAAGACCTCCCACTTTCGCAGTGTGTGCGGAATCAACATCTGCGTTGAATCCAGAAACACAAAGAAAACCTTCATGCAGTAAAAATCAGCTAGGTGTAAGGCTTATTCCCGAGATAATACCGAGCCGAACTCTCGCAATTCCTTCTCCTTTCCCACGTTTTTCCAGTTTCTCACTTGCATTCTGCATCTGCTGCCTCCTTTTGGAATTTAAAACTTCTTGAAAGTGAGCGTTCTATGTGTTGTTGATGTCATCCAAATCGCTGATTATCGCCTATATCGTGACGTTGGGGGATGCCCTCGGATCCATCTTATGAAGTTTTCCCTCTGCTCAGCAAAACCCTTGAGTTGCTCCAATTTGCGTCACTTTCACTTCTCATGTTGTTCTCAGTCTACCTATGGGTGGTCTGCTCTACGCTTCGAGCTCCATGTACATTCGTGGTTTCCTCAGCTGTCCCATTCTATTTACGTGGCCAAACCAAAACAGCTTTTTATCCTCAATCATCCTCTCGACCGGCTGGATATTGAGCTCTTCTCGAATATGATTGCTCCGCACTCTGTCCCGTCGTGTCTTTAACTTCTTTCTTTAACTTTCTCCGTTGCCATCCAGTTTTCCAGTTTTTCACTTGCATTATGCTTCTACTGCCTCTTTTTCGAATTTAAAACTTCTTAAATGTGAGCGTTCCATGTGTTCTCGATGTCATCCAGATCTTTGATTATCACACCTTCTTCATTTTTGCACATTTTCGTATGTGGTCGCTATTTGTCGATATTTGCCGCCTAGGAGACCACTTATTCTTACACCTGCGAGATATAAAGTCCCTGTACGTAAACCTGTGATTAAATACAAAGTGGCAAATCCCAAATAAAACAATGATGTTTCCGAAAGGAATCAGCAACTCCACTACCAAGAAACCATACAGCAAGGAAGCTACTAGTAACAAAAAACTTGGTTCTGTAACCCTAACTGTAATATTTGCCTGCTGCACCAACCCCATTCTCAGAACCACCAGCATTTTCTTTCATCGGCAGATGACAATAGGTCAGAAAGCGAAACTATCGAATGTCTCTTCTCGAAAAATCTTCTTCTGTTTTTTTTGTCAAGTAACTAAAGTCTACAATTTCCAATAATATTCAATGTACAATATCTTTAATACACAGTTAGGCAGGGAGGTATGGATGATTTGAAATAACAGTTACACACTCATTTTTCAACGAAACTCAAATTTTATTCTTTCAATGTGTAGCTTAAATGTTGCCATTAGAAAAATTAAAGAATTTCTTGTGTTATTGTTTCATTTAGGGCTTGAAGTGTACGTCGTCTTTTTATGTATACTCGTGCTTTGAGGTAGCCCCATAAGAAGAAGTCACAAGGTGACTGAGGAGGCCACTAAATGGCGGCTTCTGACGAACAGATACCCCAACTCTTTATCCACCAAGGTTCTCCACACCTTGCGTCGCGTAACGTTCAAATCATCCATACCTCCATGCCTAACCCTGTACAAAATTAACCACTTATCTTCCATTATCATCCCCTTCCTCCGTCCCCTCGTCCCAACCACCTCTCTTATCCATCCCTTGCCTTCCTCCCCTCTTCCAAAATCTGCCACCGGCACCTTTCTTCCTTCCTCAGCTCGTTACGCCCTCTCAACATATCGTCTGTCCAGTACCTGTTCGCTCTCTCCTCATTGCCAAAACGAAATCTGGCCACCAGCCTCTTCTCTTCCTCATATCCCTCTTTCACCAAATATTTTGGAACCCCTTCTGTCATTATGTCTCCATATCTTTCATTGTACCTTCCCTGCCTTATCTGCGTCCTTCTTTCCTTACTCTAGACGTCCGTATCCCTGTCATTTAACCTTCTTCTTTTAGTTAGCTCTGCTTCCGAATAACCCTATTGCCTTCTATCTATCTATTGCCTTCTATCTCTTCATATTTTATATCCAGAATATTCTGCCTCTTCCAACCCCAAACCTCCGCCCCGTTCATCATTGCACTCCTCAGCAACTCATCAAACATAATCTTTATCTTTCTGATACGCCTCCCAAGAATTCTTTCACTCCATCCCCAGACCTGCCCCATCACCTTATTCCTGCACATGCGCCGTCTTGTTGCTATTCTCCCTATATCTGTACCCCAGATAAGTGAAGTCTCTCATCTCCTCAATCGCCCTCCCTTCCCATCTCCATACCTCTCTCCTTCTTTTTCTCCTTTTGCAGAACTTCATCAACTTTGCTTTGCTACACTCACCTCCAACCCCTTCCCCTTGAAAAAAACCTCTCTAAGTGCCTCACTATCTCTGTTGATCACCATCCTCAAAAAAAACTTCTTCGTTAATTGGCCTAATCAATTGGAAAGAAACTATAAAGCTACTGAGCCAGATTGGTGCTAGTGGACCACATGAACGAACTGCAACAGTACTTCGTTCGTAATGAATAGGAATATCTGGAGACAGCGTTTTGGAACGTTAATTGCTTCAAGTCACACAAGCAGGAAATGAAAGTATAGACCTTTATAAATTTTTATTTTTAAAGAATGTATAGAAGCTAGAAGTGTCACGATTATGACAACCACAGTAACACAGTAACATTATGACAACATGATAACATGGCAACTACCGTTGATTGACTGATCTCTGTCTGCAACAGAGCAGGACAACACGAACTGGACGACAATCTAATCGCGATTTTTATCCAGAAGGGATCAACCGCCCTGGAAGCAGATCTAAAATGGAAGCATATCTTGCGAAACTAAAGATTGTCAAATGTTGTTAGCAGAATTCAATCTGGAGGTGTAACACCCTACAAATGGAACGCTAAACGTCTTGAACATTATCTTGGTGAAGGATTTGACGATATCAGCTCTATACGCTTCCAGAACTAACATTTGACTACAATTCCGTCCTATTAGAACTCGGCAATGGATTACCGACACAAGAGGCTCAATTCGGAAGATCGTCACGTTGATCGAACAACTTGGCCACACAGTGCCAATATATTGAGTAGCCTTTAGTACGCTTCCAAAGAAGTTCCCGTTGAAGATACACAATTTTTTATTCACCGGGAAATCAGGGACATCATTGATACATGAAGAAAATCGAATGAGAAAGTGTTTGCGGTAAACCACGATTCTGAGTATAACCACCTCTCCTGCGAGTTGAAGTTTTCCACATTTCGCAGTGACAGCTGGCTCAATGCTGAGACGGATCCTGGCCGTTTCTTTATTCTATTTGAGGGAAAGTTTCTAGTGGATACACCACCAACATCAATATCTTGAATTTAACGTTATTTATGTCTTTGATCCTGTTGGTTCTGATAATATTCATCTCCACGTATCTTGCTAACCTCAAGGCTCAAGATACCGAACCTTACTGACTCCGAAAAAAATCTCCGCTTTAAACGACTTCTAAAACCTCATGGAATCTTCAAGGTCAAAGACACACAATGTGACCTTGACATTGATTCAAGGTCAAGGTCACGCGATGTCCTATTAATTATCATTTTTGTGAGAAATGAGTTTATTAAGTCACAATTTAAAAAAAGTAGATAATATATGATTTTTTAAGTGTTTTGTTAAAACTTTTTATTAAATTTCTTATAAATATGATTCTTTTTTAGCTTATGAAGTTGTTAGAAGAACTTGTACATCACAATTAATGATAAATTTATTTATGGTGGACCACGTGTGCATGATGGAAAGTAGCGGAACTGGTCATATGTGCTTCTGTGAGGAGGACATGTGTAATGGAGTAGAAAAACCAACCCCATATCCGAGCATCCACACTCTTCCATTACCGATAGCTGCTTCGTTGCTGCTGACGCTGTTATACAGTTGGTGCATGAATCGATAATTTTTTTGCCAAAAAATCACCAGAAGCGATGAAATAAGTTAGATAAACCCCATCAAAACCTTTTTGAACCGGTTATTTAGCGATACCTTCACCAAAGTAGTGTGCTGAAAAGTGCTTTTGAGAGTAGTTTAAAAGTTTTCTTATTATTTTAGAGAGAGGTAAAGTTTTTTGGATTTTTAAGATGAAGCATGTGGTAGATTTATTTATTAGGTAACACCTTTAATTTTTTTATTGTATATATTTTGATGAAGGAAAACAGAGAAAAATTAAGCTAAAAGTGTATATATTTAAATAAGAAAAAGGCCAAATTTTCAACTTTTATTTCTTTTTAGTACCTGTTAGTTAATAAGAATTGGATCAAAAAACATGTACAAAAAATTTTAAGAATAGATGATGATTTGCATCTTTAAGATTTTAATGGAAAAGAAAGCTAAATAATTCTGTGTATACTATTAGAGAAAATTCGAATTTATACTCTGATTTTAAAAAGATATTAAAGAAACGTTTAGAAGCTTTTTAAAAGAAAACCATATTTGCTCATTATTAAAAAAGTTTTTAGCGGCTCATTCGGAGTTCTTATGAATCTTAAACAATTTAAATAATAGTTACATACAGGGTGTTTTACGAAAGCTACCTAATATTTTTTTGAGTTCCAATACACGTAAAACGCCCTGTATTTAGTTTAATCCTGCATGAACTTAGTAATTTAAGTCCGAAAGAACGTTTTTAGGCATATCATGTTAAATAATTCCTATCCATTTTTTTTTGTTTTTTATTATTTCTTAATCGGTAGCCAGTGCCGCTTTATTTTTTCTCAAAATTTTTTTAATACAACGTCGAACACTAAAAATAAAGCTTGCTTATATCTAAAATTTTAACGTTATAAATTTTTTGTTACAAAAATAAATTATTTTTAATGGGCGTTCTTGCGAAACTGGCTTCCAAGCGAATATTAAATAATAAAACGTTATTCATTGCAGAGGTTTATAAAAGAAATCATCGTAGTCATTATTACTTTTTTAAAAAGCAATAAAATAAGGTGAGAAAAAATTAACAAAAATCGAAAAACTTAAATATTAGTCGCATGATGCACGATTCTTCAATGAAAGTAAATACTCACGCACCATTAATTTTATTATTTATTAGAAGAAGAAATCATCAAAAACCAACCCCTACTAGCAATTATGGCATGCTTTAGTCCTTAGTTTTTATTACAAAATTTGCTGTCAAATTAACTTCTTAATTCATTAACGCAAATAAAATAAAATATAATATAAAGAGATAGAAAATACAAGAAAATTTTTATACAGCAGATTTTATTGAATTCATTAAAAAAAATTAAAAATTATTTATGTTTTTATGCTCACTAATTTGTTAAGAATTAAAAATTTTTTTAAGCAATATTAATTAATTTATAAAAAAAGGCAATAATAAATTTATTTACATATCTAATTGCGTGAGCGTTTAAATGCAAAAATAATTTTGATTGAAGCATGGCTATATTTTGCTGCGAAAAAAAGCCCGAATTATTTTATTACAAAGTCAACCTCACAGAAGAAATCTCTAAATATTTTTTTTTGGCCACGATGTTATTTACATCATTGTCACACGATTTGATTTAATGTGACATCATGCTTCATACAACCACGTAAACTTGTCCCCACAGGTTGCGGTGAAATTATTGTATATCGCATGTTGTCATTTTTCGGGAATAAAAGAAGAAGTTAAGAAGGATATCTGACCTGTGCTTTGTATTCTTTTATTAAAAACGGTCGGTTTTTAGACGTGATATTACGACGGACAATGTTTCTCATATCATTATTATTATTAATTAATTATTATTATTAATCGATGTTAATGAAATAAAAGATGTATTCGAAGATATTGTTACGGTTAATTTTAATTGAATGCCGATTATATAAATATTAAATAAAAAATTCTTTGTTACTATAAATTTTTTTCACTACATCATTTCAACCTTACGTGTTGTGGATATGAGACATTTTCTTACTTGTTTCTTGTTTTCTGTTGTCCAGAAAACCTAATTAGTAGTTGTTCGTTCAGCCATTTAGTTCATCTTATGCATACTTGTGTAAATTTTGCGTCGTGATTTTTCAATCTCGGGAAGAGGAAAAGTCACAAGGACTCAAGTCAGGCGAATAACTGTGTAACAAGGGGTTCTACTACCGGAAAAAGACTAGTTACTGTTAATACGAGACTTAATACTACCAACAAAAGATTATATACTGGTGCCAGAAGACTTCATAATGCTGCCTGAGGTCTAGATTCTGATGGCAGAAAACTATACACTACTGGAAATGACTAGATACTCTCAAAAAAGACTAGTTACTGTTAATAGGAGACTTAATAGTACCCACAAAAGATTATATACTGCTGCCAGAAGATTACATACTGCTGCCAGAGGTCTAAATTCTGATGGTAGAAAACTATACACTACTGGAAATGACTAGATACTCTTAAAAAAAGACTAGTTACTGTTAATAGGAGACTTAATACAACCCACAAAAGATTATATACTGCTGCCAGAAGACTACATACTGCTGCCAGAGGTCTAAATTCTGATGGCAGAAAACTATATAGTATGGGAAATGACTAGATACTCTTAAAAAAAGACTAGTTACTGTTAATAATCCAAATACAGGGTGTAGTTAATATGGTGATTTATGAAATTATCTCAATTCAGATTTAATGCAGGCCTAATAGAAATTTAAAGTAGAGTGATAGACGCTTGCTGAATTTATCATAATGGAGATTTGGAGATTTTATGAAACTTTCAATGAGTTATGATTGATATGGAGCTGTCTCAATGCAGTCTTTAGGCAGACATGATAGAGATTTAAAGTAGATCTAGTTTAGGTTTAACACTTAGTAAGTCAGTAGACATCTTGTACATTTAATATAGGCTTCAAAGATTAGACACACTCTGAAATATTGTAAGGTACACCTTAAACATTCTGTTTATCAACTTGAGTTAGCCATATACTGCATAACCACATTGAAACTTGAAGAGCACCAGAGAGTCACAGAGTGTCTGTGCTTATTCTAGGACAGATTACATATTGATAGCATATAGAGATGTTAAAGCCAACTAAGCTCTCCTAATAAAAGTTCCTAATATCTGCAACTTAATAAGTGAGGACGATGAGATCAAATGTTCACTGAAACCTTCCTTCTTCTAACATTGATTGTATACGTGTCTTTTGGCTGTACTTATATAATGTTGATCCAACAGAATTCGAATTATAATATTATAAATTGTACAGAAAATATTATTTCATCAATGACGAAGAAAGTTATTGAAAAAAAAACTATAATACCAAAATAACTTCTGTTCGCTCACAATGTATAAATTGTATATGTAATATAAAAAGTACTTCTTAGCTACTAAAATAACAAAGTTTTCCAAACAACTTTATATCACTGTACGTAATTAGTAATTACATATGGAATAAAATAATACATTTATAAAGTTGTTGGAATGTTCCTGAATATTTGTTGTCAACAACATATTTTGTAGTGGTTAATACATTCCAAATCCTTTTCGCTCTTAACTTGGCGGTATAATTCAATATTTCCCATTATCCTTTAATCTATTTCCTTGAAATTCTTCTCAACACTTTTATTTTTTCATGGCACTTTCTTAAAAAAAACCTGCCAACCCCAAACTTCAAAATTAAACGTCTGACGTTGACGTTGTACTTGAAACTTGCTTCAGAAACAACAGCAAACAACAGCCAAAATCTTTCCGGCCTTCCCGTCACCTTCTATCGGCTTTCCCGCGCTGCCTGGTACTCAGAATAGGGAAGGAGTGTCGCCAGGCATTCTTGACCAAACATCAAGATCGACAAGAACCCAGTTGATCTTGATGTTTGGTCTCCCACATATGATCCTTTTTCAAAGTTTTTCAAGAATCTCTCGTTAAAAGTGTTGATTGACCGCTTGGCCTTGAGGCAGAAACTGTTTCTGGACGATTTCCTGGATATCGAAAAAACAAATCAGCATGCATTTGCTCTTCGACTTGCTCATTCTTGCCTTTTTGGTCCTTGGAGAGGTTGAAGTGTGCCACTCCATGCTCTGACGTTTGGTTTCCAGGTCGTACTCAAACACCCAAAACTCGTTTCCAGTAAAGACACGTTCCAGAAAATGGGGATCGTTTTTAATCGATTCCAAAAAGTCAAGGCACCTTTCCCTCCTGATATCCTTTTGGTCTTGCACAGATTTTTCTCATCCCCAATTTATTGTCAAAATCTGATAAACGCACAAGATCCCGGATTCTGTCCACATTTTCATCGGTTCTTGACCACGCCAAACAAAGACAGCTGTCTATCCTCAATTATCCTCTCGACCGCCTGCATATTGAGTTCCTTGAGTTATTGCATTTGGATCGCATTAACACTTCGCCCTCTCAAACACTTTCACAACATCATTTACCTCCACTCTTCCTCTCTTACTCCTCATTAACCACCCCACCGCTATCATATTGTCACTACACACCTTCTATCTATGTCTATTGTCCTCATTCCCTGAATTATCATCGCCATATCATCCATCAGTACTCTACGCTTACTCATCACATTCTCTCCAACAATCGCCACAACTCCTCCATACATTCCTTTTTTTTCTTTCGTACCATCCGTACTCTCATCATCTCCGATTATCTCACAATAACACCACTCGCTCTCCATACATCCTTTTTTCCCATTCGCCCCCTTTCAGCTTTAACCACTTTCTGCGCATAGCTTCGGTAACAAAATACGGCTGCACTACCCCAGCCATTATTTGTAAAGCGTCAGTGGGCGCCACCCAATAAGCCCCCGTCCCGCACAACAGGAAGAAATTCTGTGCATCATCATTCTACTATTCGCTGACTTTACACTCCACACTTCCGCTCCATATATTATAGTCGGTATCATTACCCTCTCAACAATTAACCTCTTCATCCTTCCACTCACACCCCATCATGCATACCTTCGATCACAGCAATCCTTCCCATCATCCCTGCTATCTTCCCTCTCACGTACCTCACATGCTCCACGAATAGTAAGGCAGAATGTAACACCACTCCCAAATACTTCAATACACTCATATTCATTGTCACCCTACATTCCTCCGCCCATTCCTCACATATCTTCCACGCTTTCTCGCATCTTTTCTTGATATTCTTAACTGAGACGGCCGAGATAAGTATGACCTGGTCATCGGCATATCTGTAGCATGATCCACCTCGTTGTCCAGTACATCCTCCACTCTCGCAAACCGCTCATTCATTGTACACAACCACAGTACCGGCCCCAAGCTGAATCCCCTGCTTATTTTGTACATTACAGCCTCACATTCGATGTACCTATCTTTCAAAAAACTTTCTCTTAAGTCTATTCTATTTGAGGCTCAACGACCGCTTTATAAACCTTTGTGTTGGCCTTCCGGCTTACTTCATCCTTTCCAAACACACATCGTCTCAGGGTATAGTAATCCTTGGTAGCTTTGTCCACTCTGTTTCTGACCTTCAGTAAACTTGCTCGTCTGGTGGATTGTCGTGCCCAGATATTCGACATTCGATGCGGAACACCTCCTCCTTTAGAGCTTCTGATCACTCGAGTACAGCCTGTTGCAATTTCCTCGCCGGGTCTGCGATGAGGACTATATCATCTGCATATATCAGAACCTGGTATATGATCAGTTTGAGATTGAGCATGCCGACCACCGGAGTTTCTGTTCTTCTCTTGCATGTCTTCACCACTTCATCCAGCAAAGCTACAACTAGCAATAGGAATAACCTGTCTACTACATGTCAATGACGAACATGCTACAGGTCTTCCCGTTAAGCGTCGCCGCTCCACCCACTCGCTGGAACATGGACCTGATGGCCTGCATCAGTTGTGGGGCAGTCCCTTTCATCTCTAGTGCTTTTCAGGCTTCTTGCTTTGGCACCTCATAAAACGTAGAGTGCATTGCCCTGTTTAATGAAGCATATTGTCCTGTAATTTTCACACCATGTCGAGTTCCCTTTCTTGTATATAGGGTTAATTAATAATAATACTTAATAACACTTTATTAAATCACGTGGGCTACATGAGTAGATGTGACAAGTCAGTACATAGAACAACAAAGACAAAATACAACAGCAAATTATACAATCTATTAAGAACTAATATAAGTCATTACATGTCTAAAAATTCTCGCCTGGTGTAAAACACAAAGTCCAGGAGATACCGTTTTACATCTTGTTTAAATTTCTTGGGACACTCCTGAGATCTGATCGAACGGGGTAATTTATTATAAATTTTAGGTAAGTCATAAAAGGGACTTCTTCCAAATGTGGTGGTGACATGTTGAGAGAGAACTAGGTTATCTCCACCACGGGTATTATATTTGTGAGTGGACATTACAAAACGGCTCATATTAGTCCTCACATAAAGCAAAGACTTCAATAAATAGATGGATGGCAAGGTGAGTATCGAATGTCTCCTGAAAGCTTCCCTACATGATTCCCTGCCATTTAAATCGAACGGTAATCTAATGATGCGCTTCTGTAGCTGATGTGGGGTACCAGTATATTGTAGGAAATAGCAGAGTAGCACAATGCATAATACATACTTAGTTACATTCAAACTTTTTTTCAATTTCAAAATGAATAAAAAATGAATATGTTTCTTTGTCAATATGCTTGTATCCGCTCTAGTCTCCAAAGAAAACCGTTTGGAAAAGTTCTTTAATTTCTTCGGCCAATACCATGCCTCCTGCCTTAACCATTTCTGATAATATTTTGTCCTCCTCCGCTGCCTTTCCATTCTTCATTTCTTTGATGGCGTCTTGCACCTCCTCGAGAGTTATTGGCTCCTCTTCTTCATCGTTGAATGAAGACAATCCCTCTCCGTATCTGTCCCCCTCCCGCCGTTTCTAGTTCCCCAAGTCCTCCCTTCTTGAATTTCTCCTCATAACAGATCCTCAGTACTTCCAGCACTTCTTACGCTTCCTCTTTCAAGGTGTTGTTATTGTCATTTATCCTCCTTACTTTACTTCCAAATTTTCTCCGTATGTGGCTTACCATCTTCCAGAACTGTATACTATCTTAACAGAAATATCTTTCCAAGTATTCCCTAAATTCTTCCCAAGAGTTTCTTTTGGCCAATTGTACTACTTTCTTACACGTTTCTCTTCTGCACGTACTGTTCATACTCTGGTTGCTGTCTTGTCTACTTCCATTGTCTCCACGCCGCCTTCTTCTCTACTACTGCTGCCTTAACATCATTATTCCACCATCTGGTGCTTTTCACACCTTCCTTCACTATACTTCCTCACATGCTTACAGAATGACACTTCTAAGATTATCCCATTTCGCATAGTTGTCATTTCTTTCCATTAATACCATCCCATTAGTTTTCGTCTAAATAATAATATAATCTCAAACATACGATACACACTTTGTGAAGTATATGGTGCTTCAAAATAACTGTTAATCATTTATAGAGCGTACACCACGGTCGAAAACAAGTCGAAAAGCCTTAATGAACTTGTGCCTGCATTATTATTATTACTACAATAATGATAAAAAAGTTTTATTGCAACGTGCGCTAATTATCATTGAAGGTGTTCAAAACGTCACCCTTCTACATCAACACAGCTTACACTCTTTCAATCAATCAAGTTTTCTTAACATATTAGTACCTCTCCAGAGTAAATAGTCAGTTTCATTACCATTTGGCAGTTTGCACAGAACTGACAACCAACGATCTGGCATCGTTGCTCACTTCGCCTCTCTCTTAGGTTAATTTAACCCTTTCTAATCCATTTTTAATTAAAAATATTATTAACAAAAGCAAATCACAACATTGAAACTGTTTACAAACATTCGGTGTATATCAATAGGAAAGCTTTTAACGCGTTATGGGTTATGGCCCATCCAGAGAGAAGCGAAACAAGCGACATTGCCAAATTGCTGACAAAAGAGTTATTTTTACTTTTTTGAATTTCTCTCTTGAATTGTTATGTAGCATTATTTAGTATAGCTTTATGGGCTGGTAATCTAGTTTGCTCTAATTTCTTTAGGGTAGTAATTTTAAAAATTAAATTATAACATTTAATTTTTTCCCGGTTTACTGACAATAACACAAGATGGCGCTACCAACAACTTTTACATTTTTGTAATTGAATTAACCGTTTGTAGTTTATAAATTACTTATTTCAATAAACAAAAATAAATAAATAAAACTCTGTATCATTTATAAAGTACAATCTCAAATCAATAATAAAAATATTTTATTTACAGTTAACTTCAATGTGTTCAAAAAATGATATATTTCTAATTAAATTAGTTTTTCAAATTTGTTTATATCAAATCTATCTATATCTATAAAACATATTTTTTTAATAATTTTCCAATAATAATTTGATATAATTCAAAACGTGAATTAATAATAAAATTTATTCCATCCCTAACTAACTTCACAGTGTTGTGTTCAAGCGTGCACGAACTGTCACCGACATATGTCAGTCAGTTTACTGTTAGACGTGGTGATGTACAGTTTATCGTTTTGAAATTGATAGTTTTCGCGTGTTATCACAGAAAATGTGAATGATAACGACGATTTTGTTCCACTTAAACCTATCACAAAGAAATAATCAAACATGGCTAAACGTTTAACAGAAGAAATGGTGATCGCACGAACAAAAATCTCCGATTTAGGTAAAATAAAACGATTAAATTGCTGGTAAGATCATGAAAATATTTTTATTTTTCAAAAATATTCAATGATAACCCTTTATTTCAGGGGTAGTGAATTGGTGGATGTAACTCTTTTAAGGCGAATGCCGTGCGTTGAGGTGCTATCATTAAGGTAAGCGAAAATGATTATTACTTTATTAGTTTTATTTTCTTTTGTGCGGTTTTGAAAGTAGATTAACGACTACAAAAGAATTAATAAAAAGGAATCGCGCGTTTTTAGTGCTTAATAACGTTTTATTTCTCGTTTAAAAAGCAATGTATGGTATGACAATCATTTTTAAATTGCGCAGAACAAATCCCGCAATCTTCTTAGAAAAGGCGTGTTTGTAATTGCATTGACCTAGGTTCAGGTTGTGTTTATTGTGTTTTAACAGGTGACAAAAGAGTTAATAACAAATATAAATTAATGTACTTTTTGGTTTAAATTTTAATTTTGTAATCTTGATACGGTTCGTTTCATTTCACATTTCCTGTGTTCTCCTTTTTATCTGTAAGAGTATCAGTGTGGAAATTTTGAAAACAAAGACTTAAATAGAGTTGGAGAAGGTATTTTTATGTTGGTGTAGTGATTAACATAAATTATTCATGAAATTAATTTGTATGCAAATTTTGCAATAACGATTACAAGTGTGTAAGTAAACATATTTGTACTTGATCTTGATATTTTTATGAGTTCATTTTATTATTTAGAATCAACTCAAATATCTTTTTAATATTTTCAGTAACAATCTATGTATTATATAATAATATGTGCTTTTTCGCTTTATTGATTTCTTTAAAGCGAGCTCCACATCGCGTTTTGAAAACGAGATGTTCGCGGATTTTAATGAATGCGAGAGCAGCATCTACGTCCGGGTTCTTTTTACATTTATTATACAATTTGTGAACGCTACTTGTCCTACATCCATGTAGTGTGTGTGTGTGAAAATGAAAAAAATGATACTTTATTGTTTTCAAATCAGAATTTTCCCTACTTCCTTGCTTATTTTTTAACTTTCTCCTTTACAACAATAGTTCTCATTAAACCTAATAAAAAAAGTAATAACACATCTAATTATTGTTGCTTCAAGTGAAACGTGAATGAAATATAATTTATTTTCGAAAAATTATAATTCATTTAATGACTATTTTCACGTTATAAGCTAGCTTTTTGACGTTTATGGCGTTTTATATACAGGGTCCCTGATATTCGATCCCTTATAAATATTTTGAAAATGGTAAGTAACAACCTTATTAATAAAAATATGTTTTTGCACTGGATTTTTGCGACCTTGGTGGTTTGAGGGTAAATATCTTCTTATAAAAGAATTCGTGTCTTTACCAAGATATGAGCAATTTAGCAAATTTTGTTATCCGTACGCATTAAATCGATTTTGGTGTGTTGAAGGTTTTGAAATTGTTGGAAATGCGATTAACGTTTGATTATGTTTTCTGTTTGGGGGATATTAATATTGATGTTTTTGATACTAGCAACAATTATGTTGCCTATATGTTGTACATGAATCAATTAATAGGTGAGCCTACCCGAATTACTGATAGTTCGATGAATACTATTGATGTTATTGTGGTATCTGATTCTTCTATAGTATTAGAATCTGAGGATCTTCATCCTGAGATCTCTGATCATGAACTGTTTTTTTGTCGATTTAGCTATACAATGCTTAAACCATCTTTGTTTTATTACACATACAGAGACTTCAACTCATTCAATTATGATTCCTTCGTTGCTAAATTAAGCCTGATACCATTTCAGGCTATTTTTGCAATGTCCATTGATGATAAATTAAAGTTTTTTGATGATCAAATATTGAATTTGTTTGACATTCATGCTTCAGTGAGGACAGTTGGATAACGGATAATATTAAGTTGTTACAAAATTTGAGAGATAAAGCTAAAAAGAAATATATAAACGTAGCAAGCATCTCATTGGGAATATTACAAACAATTGAGAAATTGTACTTATTTTGCTATTGATGCTGAAATTAAAGCATATTTTGAGCATTTACACAAAAATTCTAATCAAAAAAGAATTTGGAATGTGTTAAAGGACTGTCGAATATTGCCAATTAAAAACAATCGCCTTCCAGTTCATTTAAGAAACGTAAATGAAATAAACTCAGCATTTGTATACAGGTGGGTCAGAAAGAATGAGAAATCCGAGTACCGGAGATACTTTTATACAAATGTCAGTGGTTTTCAAGGCACTTTCTTATTTCGAAATTTCTTGGTAATTTTGAAGCTTTTTGTACTATTAACATAAAATTTGGTAGTTTTATGTTTTCGAGCATGAGAAATACGAATTTGAAACTTGTTTTGTTATTGCTCGTAGAGGACACTAGCTACACACTGCTCGTTTCATAAATCAAATCATAAGCTTTTGTGGCTGTCAACCTACGACCAATAAGAGCTACAAATCACAAAGAGCATTCAATTTTACATAAAAAAGGTACTCTTATTTAAATTGTCTAAGTCTATCGGTTTTCGAATTATTTACTGTTTAATGTTTAAATGTATTTTTTCTTCTAAAATTTTTATTTTTTAACATAAGCAAAGTTGGCTTATTTTTCTGTTCATGTTTCGACAATTATTGATCTAATTTCCGTGTGCAATAATCATTTTTACCAACAATAAAGTTATTACCAATTTGAAAATGCCACGACATAATGAGTTTTCTAATAGTGAGAAATCCAGATTTAAATCCACTGGATTTTTGAATATGGTCACAATGTTCTATTGTTATTAATTAATTGTTATCGTTATGGATTATTATCGTTACTAATTGCTATTGTTACTGTGTGTTATTGATTTTAAATGTTAATCTTAAAATTACTTTGAAACAATTACTAGTAGATAACTTGGAAACCAATAGACTTAAACAATGTAAGCAAGACTACCTTTTTTTGTGTAGAATTGAAACTAGATTCGGATTTCTGGTTCTAATTCACCATACCTCAACTGACAAAATAGTCATAACTTGATATCTCAAACGTGCAGTTTTAGCGCCCTCTATGAGTAATGACAAAATAAATTTCAAACTTCGTATTTCTCATACTCGAAAACATATAACTACCAATTTATTGTACCATTTTATGTTAATAGTACAAAAAGCTTCAAAATTATCAAGAAATTTCGAAATAAAAATTTAACTTTCAACACCCTGTGCCTTGAAAACCACCAACATTTCTATATGTGATGTTAGGTTAAATCGTCATATTTTGGCGTCTAGTGTCTCCGGTATGTGGATTTCCCATTCTTTCTGACTCACCCTGTATAATGTTCTAAATAGTCAATACGATAACATTAATTCTGCATCTTTTTATAATAGTAATACTTTCAACAATATTGGGTCTGTACTTCGACTTCGATCTGTAAATGAAGATACAATTTTAAGCTTATTGATGAATATATCATGACTCTGTTGGTCATGATGGTATGTTTATGGATATGTTAAAACTTACACTTCCGCTTACTTTACCATACATATGTCATATACTCAATTGTTGTATCGAGGAGAAATATTTTCCTTCTTCTTGGAAAATGGCGTATGTAATCCCTCTGCCTAAAAAAGATGCGCCTGTAACATACAGGGTTGTTTCATAATATATGCGCAGGACTTTAAGATGTGATAGCTTATCCAAAAATTTGAAAAAATTTTTCTATCAACTTACTCAGACATTGCGACTTTACATGGAACGTTTTCCGGAAAGAGATGTTCCAAATCGTCGTAAATTTAGCCGACTTGAAGAAAATTTAAGGAGATTTGGAAGTTTCAAGAAACCGAAGGTTGTGCAGAGAAAACGTTTTGTTGGCTGTTGAAGAAAACGCCAAAACCTCGGTTCGAGAAGTTGCGACCATTATTGATACATTAGTACTGCATGTGCAGTGCTTAAAAAACACAAATTTAAGCCGTATATTGGTTAAAAGGTGCAGGCAATAGATAAAAATGATCCAGTTCGAAGGCCTCAATTTTCTAATTTTTATTTAACAAAATTGTAAGAAGACCCGTTGTTTTAGTGCAAAATTATTTGAACAAACCATTTCATTTGATACCTGGCTCATGAAAAGCGGAATGTAAATGACAGAGTTACAGCTTGGGGTGTTTTTTGTGCGACATCCCTGTATAAGGGACGTTTCAAATCGCCAAGGTCGTTTGCGAGCGAGTTAATGCATTACATCCAGCGCCCCGCCCGAAAGGGACCTCGACGGAATGATGGTAAATGTCTTCTTGTGAGAAGCTCGAGTACTTTGCATCTTTATCAAGATACATAATATATAGAATTTGATATATCAACATGAAATCATCAGTTTTAGAGGATACTAGCAAGCAACCTCACCCGCAAGCAACCTTGGCAGTTTGAGAACATATACCTTATTAAAAAAAACTTTGTATCTGTAAATCTAAGACTTCTTATGAGACACTTTGTATCTTTACAAAGTATACAGAGTGTCCCTTATCTTCCGTATCAGAGGAATACGGTTGTAGGATACATTATTCTAAAGCGATTTTTCTAATAAATTTTTTTTGAAATGTTTATAATAACCGCACAGAAACTGTTTAACGACATCCAATAGCAGATCGTAAATCAGATTCAGATAATCGGCCTCACCCTCGGCCGGTCCGCCGCGCCGCTCATAACACGTTTCTCACGTGTACTCACCAATAGATTCGACACGGAAAGAGAAATAATACGTTTTCTGTGAATTCGTGAATCCGCTATTGGACATTTTTAAACAGTTCCCGTGCGGTTATTATAAACATTTCGAAAAAAATTTATTAGAAAAATCGCTTCGGAATAATATATCCTACAACCGTATAATGCTCTGATACGGAAGATACGGGACGCTCTGTATATGTATAAGGAACGATTTCATATCAAATCGTCGAGGTCGCTTCGGGCGAGGTGCTAGAATTCTCCAAAACGGACGATTTCGTGTTGATGCATTGAAGCCGAGAAAAATTACCTTAAAGTATCATAATTTCCTACTCATTTGAGATAGAAAAATAGCAGTAGCCATGCGTAACCATGCTAACCAACTGTTTCAGATATTTTATTAAGACAATGATTAATTTTTGATTACTGAAACAGTTGGTTGCCATGGTTACGCATGGCT